GTTAAACCATACTAATAAGAAGGACCAAAGACCACAATTAGCAAACAGCCCCATGTGCACGTCCAGAAACTTTTCTGGAAAATCGATGGGGGAAATCAAATCGAATGAGACAAGTCCTTGACTACGCGCAATATATGTGATGTTGGGTCATGTTAAAAAAATTAGTGGGCCACATAGCCGAGACTAGTCCAGCGTTGCGAACAGTGGAAATTGAAGGGCATCATACCACAATTATGTCTCTTCGCATACTTTTGGCGGACAAAGTCTACTAGGTAGTGTTTAGTGGGGCAAAAATAAATGGAATTTCTCTAGCGTTTGCTGGAGTCATTGACGCATGTAGAGCACTGGTTATAGGTATCATGCAGTACACACGTGGCTGTTGGTTGAATCCCACGCCCCAAGCAAGCCAATCTTTGCATTTCTCTGAGGTCTTCAAGCTGGTACATACCTGACGAAATGATGACAGCACTGATTTCATATATCGTTCGACCACTACAAATCATTGTACATGTCACATATGCATTCTACTGCATTCACTCACCTCACTACGATTGATGAATTCGAAAGTGTGACTTGCTCCTCACGAATTGATCAAAGCTGAATGCTTTGTGCATATCCTAATATTAGAGTCATTCGATAGCTGTAGGCATAACAGTTAATGAAAGCGAAGTTTCTGAAATCTATTAAAGCCTCTTCAAATCTTCCAACTCCCAGTTAACCGTTCAATCACTGGAATGATGAAAGTGATCTTCTTATGATGCGACAGTTGAAGACGGAGGACGACTATGCGAGAGGAAAGCATCTCGCATGAGTCGACGAGATGGACAATAGACAGGTGGACGATGGAGCTAGCGCCACTGACATTTCGTGACGGGACCTTTTCTCCACGATTCACAAGGGTCCCGTTGTTTAGTTCGCGTATGTCGGTCTTCTTGATTTTGTTTCTTATAATTCGATCACATGAAATTTGATGCGACCTGCTGCGACAAGAAGGGCGTAAAAATCGGCGTCTGTGGAGAGTGTTCTGGTATTATACGTGCATAGACCTCTCACCGGTCGTCTCAGCGCCTGACGTTATAGACGGGAGCACCCAATGTGCCGTGTAATGAGGCTGGCTTATTGCTGGTCGTGCAAGTTGGTCCTCCCTGGAGTCCTGACGTAACCTTGCAAGGGCGTGTCCAGCTCCTCACCACGATGTGGATCAGAGGGAGGTGTGATTTCGGCGACGAGTCCTTCGCTCGGTCTTCCTAGTAGTTGATTCGGAGAAATGTTAAGACGGAAATCAGAAACGAAAGTATGAATGAAAAAGTAACCGACCGCTCAAGGACGATATAGAAGCAGAGTTCAGGAGTGACAATAGGATAACTAATGTGCCAGGAAATTCAAGGCGAACCGTGATAGGAGGGATGAAGGGTCTCCTGAAGGGGCACGCTCCTTGTTAGAATTAAGCCAAGATTTCTCATCATCTGAATCACTTTCTACGATATCTTTGTGTAGGGTCGCATGTAGTTTAAATGTGCTTCATGATAGGTTACGGAAGGAAGCTAGATATGAAGCACTAAATAGGAGCAAGCAACAGGAAGTAAGGGCATTACCACTACCCCAATTCCTTCAGCCGCTCTTTAGACATCAAGAACCTAGCAATACAGTTGATGTTAAGTTTCGAATGCTTACGAATGAAACTTCTCAATCATTATCGCGTGAAAGATATCACTCCAACCTCACAGAAGTGCAAAAATGCGGTATGCGGAGGGGACCGCAGTTGATAGAGTTGAAGAAAATAAGACTATCCGCTAATGATAAGGATGGAGAGTTTGTGTAGTAAATTCTCATGAGCCGAAGTTGAGATAACAAAAAAGTATCTTGAAGGTGCTTCCTTCTTTCGCCTAAAGTCTGCGAAGGACTTCCAAAACTAATGCCGAAAACTGAACCACGAATGGGTTAAAATGCCAAGGGCTGAATCATCTCTCAACTCGTGTTTTATTGGTATTCCCTGTCTTGTATTTATTTATCAAAACTCATAAGTTGGTATCCAGCGATGATCTTATGTCTACCAATCCATCGTTATTTAATATTAGACCTATCACTGGCTGTGTAAACGGCTAACGGATAAAATGAAGTAGTTAATAATTCTAATAATCACGCAGTTGTTAAAACACATTCCACCTCATCTAATGAACACCAAATTGTTTCTAGGTCGTATACGTAGGACACATACTAAGAGCGCGTGCGTGATGGCGTCTTTTGACCTCACCTCCTTTCATACAAACGTGTCAAATGACTTCGCTGTGCAAGCCATCCTCGAACACCTCATACATCAAGAACGACCAATAAATCTGTATGGCTTCAAGATAAAGCAGTTGATGGCACTCTTAAAGGAATGCTTAAGCTGCTCAATCTTCAGATGGTCCGGAAAGTACAACGCTCAAATAAGAGAGTTGGTAGTGGGGCAACGACTGGCACCAAGTCTTGCCATTGCGTTTATGTCTAAGATGGAAGCACCAGCGACCGATTTCCGGCTATTGCTTTAGTGTAGATATATAGACCACTACTTTGTTATTTGCTCAACACAAGAGGAAATGGACAAATGTTTTAAGCTATTCAACGCGCAATCAGAGCACATTGAGTTTACCCAAGAGAATCCGAAAGAAGACTGGCTTCCAATGTCGAACGTTGAAATTAACCTGTCCGAAAACGGCTATATTACGAAGTGGTACCAAGACCCAAGTAGTAAAAACATACTGGCTGATTACTTTCCCTCTCACCCGTCACACATTAAGGTACGTGCAAGAAACATGTTTTGAAAGGCCGCCAGCATATGCACAGGAAGATAGCAAAAAGAGGGAATCCCGGAAATTGGTGTGGCAAATAGCCATTTCCAGTGGCTGTGAAACTGTAGCTCCACGGTTAGGTGCAGAGGAAAACGCAAGCCACCAAACGACGCCTCTAGCTACGGCAAAGTCTCGTCTATTCTGCGCTTCAATTCAAATGAGATAAGAACAACTATAAGAAGTTGCTTGTGAAGGTCCGGTCCAGAGAATCCGGTAGCAGTACTTGAAATGCCACCGAGCACTGTAAGACACCAGCTAGTTTGTAACCGCCTGTATAACCACTTATTTGAAATGCAAAATTGCGTAATTTGCCCTAACGATAGAGTCGATGATTGCATGAGCTCACGTACGGTTTACCTAACCTCCTGCAAAACGTGTGAGAACGAAATTATTGGCGAACGTGCAGACTATTCCGTGTCCGTATAGAATAACATCTAGTCAATAAACTTGAAGTTAATCCAAATACTCCACTAGGCGAGCATAACGCGCAGAAACGTAACAGTGCTTAAGACTGTTATTTTAATGTGAGAGACATATTACGCTTTCATGTGAACTCTGTGCGGTTGCTCTCGACGTGACATATTCAGTGGAAAACTCATAGAAAGCGGTAAGTGCGCGAAAAAGCTAATCTGTGTTCAATTTGATTGGTATCCTAGTTTCGTACTTTCTCTGATTAGTTATGGAGATTGGCTGGTTAGATTGTAGTTAACTTGACTTTTCCAGGCTCTGAGGAACGCGAAGTTCGCGGAAACGTCGGCGTTACCGGAATAAGAGGCAACATAACACCTCGTGGTTCCTCAACAAGACTATAAAGAATTATTTGATCAATGGCGAGGTTAAGATAAAGTCGCTCGTGAGAACTACTTTATCATGTTGTACATTTGTGTCCAATTTTTCGCGCCAAGTGCTCTTTTTTTCTGATCATTTAAGACGGAAAATCAACGAAGCATCCTTGGATTTGTTACATTTTATTGTTGTATCTTTACAAGTAATCTCCGATAGAAGAAAGATAATTACATATTCTTGCTGGTCACGAAAACGAACCATAAATTGCTCAAGGTCTGAAATGCCACATTTGGTGCGAAATTCAACAACAAATAGGGAACAGAAAAATATCAAACTGTTAATTCACACAAGCGATAAACCGAACATAAAACCGGGAAAGAATGGATAACGAGGAAAGGGTAGACAAATGAAAAGTTGAGCAATGAAAGCAGAGGATTTTTTGGTGAGAATGCACTCAAAGTGCCAGGTAATTTCACGGATCAGAGTGGTGGTTACATAAGGCGGTGCGTAACAATGCCTCATTGCTGCTTAAGCTCATACGGTATCGCATACAGTATTGTTCTAGGGCTGCAGCATGCATTGGAACCAACCACCACTAGGAATTTGGTCATTGGAAGCAATGCCGTTTTATACGGCATTCACTGGCTATATGTTAAAATAAGAGGATAGTGGACAAGGCGTTCAGCGTTGATGAATCCCTTAAGGATTCGAAGAATCCGTCATGAATTCGACAACATCATAAGGCTTACTGAATGCATATTCGTCCTATATAATGCTTACTTGTCGTGAACAAGCGATGCATCAAATGTTTTCTATCTCGCAGACAAGCCTAAAATCAACCCCTGAAGGATGAGTGGTTGCTTTGTGAGAGTTCGGGACCGGATCAATAACCATGTCTGTACACCCCGGAACCTCCAACCACTGCTTTTCACAAGTTCAATGAAGTTCCGCCTACATGAAATTATGTTAATATACAAGGGTCACTGTACGATTATGTAAAATAACATCCCATTTTGCTTGTCTAGAGAATTCATATTGCGGACGCTCCATAAACTGCCTTGTCGAGCGTCAAGAAGCAAATCAGAGCACGGGCGAAAATAACGAAACAGGGTCTGGTTACGGAAGGCGAACATGAAAATATACGCATTTTCATATTCGTCATCCACCTCCCTTATATTTTTGCACCCTGGAGGCTTCAACGACATGAGATGGATATTCTCAAGTATTTAGTTAGTAAGGAAAACAACAACACTTCGACGTGATTAGCGCAGGTGGCAAACAAGATGGCAAGAACATTAGCCCAAAACACTCGTACACTAGTATACACGTCTTGAATTTGTATGCAATCGAAATCAGCACCACAAATCCAGAAATTAACACAAATCAGACAAGGTAAGCTCGGGCGATATAGATGATCGCAAATGCGTACCCCACAGAGGCACTGTATCCACCAACTGTAAATGTTCCACCACCACGACAACATTCATATCCGCAACAGTACTCATAGTAACCGCAACCCCAAACAATCTCATGCGGACGAGTTACACCGTCCTGAAATTTCATTTAGATCGGGTAAATCATACAATAGAATATGGAAGTATAACTAAAACTACATAGAGCTGTTACCGAAGTTTTAGGCACTTTGAAGAAACGTACTTAAACACAGATGCACTTATAATAAAAGGAGGATCCACTGTCTTACCGGTTCATAGATGTTTCCAAATTGTGGATCTGATGGATCAATAGGCATTCGGCAAATATTTTCTTGGCCACGCTGCGGTCGGTAGTAACTTGATCCCCAATAGTAGGGACGATTGTTCCACCTCAAAATTGTACGGTATAGAGGCGAAATAAAAAAAATAAAACTTCGTTTGAAAACCTTGAATAAGAATATGCGGACCAAAATATATCGCTAACAGATATCTCTTCTTGGAATTACGAAAGAAAGAAGATTATTCACATCATCGGTGCAGCTATGGAGCGAATGATGGCCTTTCCTGCCTGGTAGGTTAAGTAGCCAGCGGCAGCGCCGACGATCATATTCTTGAAGGTGTTCGATCGGGAACGTGAACCGATTCCATGCGAGGTGAATCTGAAAGCTATCAGTTTAGTTACGATGACCTCGCAGCTTTTCCTCGCCTCTACACTCAAACAATCTGCTGCGGTGTTTCAATAGCTCGGAACGGAAGCACATAGGCGTTAGTTCGGCGTTGTGCAGAAGACAGTGGTTATACAGATACTTTCTATACAAATTCTAACTCAGTGACCTATGAGCTCCGTGATGATGGCCGCGGTTCTTGTGCATTATGCCGCCGAAGAGCTTACCCAATCCACCAGACCTCAAATTTATTTGCATTTAGAGATTATTTATCCACGTGCAACATGGTGGTTCTTTAAAAGAACATTAACACATAAGGATTCATGCTAAGATATGCGATTTTTATAGAGTGCTTAAAAACACTATTTTTTAAATTCTTTCTACCTCTGTTCAGCTAAAAGCATGAGGTGCTATTTTATTTCTTTATTTACGTACAAGCTGACGTTTCGGCAGATTTCGCCTTCCTCAGAGCCTGGAAAGGTCAAGTTAACAGCAACCTATCCGGCCAACCACCTCCATGACCAAACAGAGAAAACGCTAAACCAAGATTTCAATCACATTTAACATAGCCCTGCACACTCACCACTTTCTATGAGTCTATGGCGTCTATTTGAAAGTTTCATCTTCATTAACACTTTGACCTTTCCTTTCCACCGAATAATAAAAACATTCTAATATTAAATACGTCCAGGCTCTGAGGAAGGCGAAGTCGCCGAAACGTCAGCCATCGATCAATAACATCAAAAACAACGACAACGAGAACGAAGATCTGTACCAACCTCGCGTCACCTTAAGAAGAACAGTTTATAAGGTCACATAAATAAATATAACAACTATCTGTGCCGAGGTTTATAGAAAGTCGGTCTTTCGAGCTTTCTATGAGTCTTCCACTGAGTATGTCGTGTGAAGACCGACCGCACAGAATTCACATGGAAACGCAATGTACCCCTCCTATTAGAATAACAGGTTTATATACTGTCCAATATCACGCGTGATAATGAGGCATTCCACACTGCTGTTCATTTTCGGATTCTTGGAATTAATCCAGAATCCCTCTAGAGTTTTGCGCGCTTGTGTTCTCGATTCTTGCGCGAGGATCGTAACCCTTACTTCAAAATCTTCTCCGTTATGTCTCTGCGTCCTATGCGTGCCTAGTGGTGTATTTGGCTTACGTTTGCCGACTAGATGTACTTTTATACGTACGCAGAGTGGTCTACCCGTTTCGCCAACGTATTCGTCCCCCGCACGCTTTACAAGAGGTCAGATAGGCTGTACCCGAACTCATGCAGTCACCGTCTGTACCATTGGGGCAAATTATGCAATTTTGCGTTGCACATAGACGGTCGTATAGGCGGTTACGAACTAACTGGCGTCTTAGATTACTCGGTGGTATTTCGATTATCGTTACCGGTGTCGGTGTCGGTGATTATCGGTGTTAAATGTGATTGAAATCTTGGTTTGGCGTTTTCTTTGTTTGGTTATGGAGGTGTTTGGCCGGATAGGTTGCTGTCAACTTGACATTTCCAGGCTCTGAGGAAGGCGAAATCCGCTGAAACGTCAGCTTGTACGTAAATAAAGAAACAAAATAGCACCTCGTGTTTGCTGAACAGAAGTAGAAAGAATTATTCAATCAATGCCGAGGTTAATAGAAAACCGGGTTTGGGAGTTACTACTTCTTTATATGTCTACTATGTGGATCTCAGAACTTCTCACATTCGATTCGTTTCCTCGCATCCATTGTCCACGAAGATCGTCCAACTTTCACGTGTGGCTTCTGTAGATGCTTGAGCATCTTAATTCCATCTTAGAAGTCGTATAATGCTGGTCGAGCAATTCTCCCTGGAGTCCTGAGATAGCCGGTCTGGAGCGCTTCCAGTTGGATTGCAGAGAGTGATGTTTCCTCAGACAAGTCCGATACCAATTTCTCGACACCGGAGGAATGAGAGGCTTGGTTGCACGGCTGCAGAATCGAATTAGTACCATACTCGTGATGACAGACATCTCTACCACTGTGCTATCCGCTCTCTGCTTAAAAACACTATTGCTGGAAAGCTAGTTGACTACAAGATTCACGAAATTACCACTAGAATCCTCAAGACGTGTGTGCATTACACTGGTGTCACACTCATTTGTAATGTGCTCTCATGAATTTCATTATAGTCATAGCTATTAATAAACATGCGAAGAAAATTTTCTCCGAATCAATCAATTTCTATAATAACAAAACTACTCACTTTGGATTCTGCGACCGACCACCGCCCCAACTGCTTCCCATTCCTGAAAAGTTGACGAATCGATTCCTGGATAATGAAAACGGAGTGCTTCAGAACTAAAAATAATTCAAACGCACAGATCTTATTCTTCGAACTTTTCCGTACCTACTATTAGAATACTTCAAAGAATTGGCCTTTCAACGACATTCTACACTCANCTCGAGTCTTCCATAAGGGGTAATGAATACCCAGAAAAGCAAATTCTTTTCATTAAAATGTGCGGAGATTTCTTCAAACTTCTAGAAAGTCCTTCGATGTTCTAACAACACAACGTGAGAAGATGACATTCTGGAAGACCAACTGTGGTGTGTAGAAAGTCTCATCTTTCCAACATGCTCATCAAGCCGAATGCCATTTTGTCATTTCTACTCAAAACTTTAACTAATACTAAGCCAGTGATAAACATGCTTCACTCCTCGAAAAAACTTAGCCTTAAGATGGGAAATCTTACTCCGACCTACGACAACTGGTGACTTTACCTACGGTGGCAATATAGGAACAACTTCACACGACCTTCTCGTCATACCAGGAACGAAGAACTTGTTCATGCATTCGCACGCATGCTCACGCATCACACCAATAAAATCACGAAGTTGTGTTGAAGCCTAGATCTGTGTATAGTGGTTTATGTAAGATTTATGATAGCACTATCTTCTTCACCGGCTTATCGCCAGGCACTGAGGACCTATGCTGGTGTAAAAAAAGTCTCCTACAATCTCACTGAAGCATGAATACGTAGTCTAGCAACAATAAATTCGCTTACCATGTTGTTGACGGCCTCCACTACCCCAGCCACCTCCACTGTGTCCCCATCCTGTACCGTGGCCAGTTTGATGAGGTCGATGTTGGTGAACTAAACAACAAGCGTTTATATGATCGTTAGAAACAATACCAAGAGTCTGCGTGGGGAACGAACGCGCTATTGTCCTTTTCGGGGAATAACGCGTTCACCACCACACTATGTGGGTCTTTCGCTTCGTCTGCCTCTCAGCTAGTTAGAACTAGGCCTAGGCTTAGGCTTAGGCTTAGTCTTAGGTAAGTAGAGATCAGATATATCGCTTCAGCACAACTTAAACCATGATGGAACCGAGAACTGTTTTCTGTCTCTACTAATCTCGTTAAATTCCATCATAATACTACGATATTCGGTGTCGGTCAAGGTAATGGCAGTGTTTCGATCCATTAAGCATTAATTCTAATGGATTCTGATACGTAGAGATCAGACATATCGCTTTTTGAAGAAATTGGACCTTAATGGATCCTAGAACAGGTTTCGAGGGTCACTAGAAGTTCTAGAAATCTTTGATCGACGTCTAAGACCTTTACTGACGCCACTGATCGATGGAACTAGCTGAGAGACAGGTGAAGCGAAAGGCCGGCATGGTGTGGTGGTGAACGCGTTGCTCTTTTCAGGAAGAAAAAGGATTTGTCCCGCTAATCGCCACTTGACGGTAGCGACAACAAAAGGCGAGTGAGCACCACAGATCACGGCCAAATACGACGTAGCCTTATCAACGTCCGCCAGAAATTCTGTGGCAACCCTAGTACGCGGTTAATAATTCTCATCGCTTTCGAACCTCCTCCTTTTCCAAAAAGGCCCCCGCTGCCCATTCGTGCGGCTGATGATCCTCTGGATCGTGACCCGCCCAGAATTCCGCCTCGTCTAGCATCCAAAGGATGTAGTTGTTCGCAGAATATCACAATTATAAGAAGCCATGTTCGGTGATTTTGCATCTAAAATCGTCGACTCTCAAAAATGAAGAAAAAAAGAATGACACCACATCAGACAGAACGTGAACAACCATAATTATGAGCTGGGATACAAAAGGCTGAAAACTTTATAGACAGATCGCAAACGCTTCTTTTCAGGGAAGCTAGAGGAATAGAAGGAACGTGGCCAGATTTTCAAGGAATTGTCAAAAAGATTGGAAAACTATCCGGATTAAAGAATATCGAAGGTCTAAAAGGTCCAGCACGTCGGGAAAAGGTAGGTCTCAGCAAAAAATATGGGTAGGCGTAAAAACCATTCACGTTCTTCCGACTATAACTCTCCTGAGTGGTGCTAAGATCTTAGTTCTTCTGTAACATAATAAGCTGTATATATAATAGTTCCCTCACAGTAAATACAACAAGGATGTTAGGAATTTTCACCTCTCAGTTTAGGTGCTCTAAAGAATGTTGTTGAAAAGTGTAGACCTATCACAGACTAAGGTCTTACTTTAGTCCAAGAGTGTTGCCGGACGACAAAACACCGAGTACTAGCTCTAAGGGATGAGTACTAGCACTACCACCAGTCACAGAATCACTCAAGCTGGCAATAGCCATTAACGTGTCTCCCCACCCCAGGACTATTGCGAATCCTACGATTTGTCGAAATAGCGATCGAGTAGAGTGCAGCAGGGAGAATTCCAAGACGTCTCAATGTTCTGATTCTAACGACAATGGTAAACAATGGATTCAAGGCAGAAAAAAAGCTCTAGGACGACAACTTTCAGCACACGGTGTTAATTTTCGGCATTGAACTTCATCAGATCTAGCAATTAAACTCATCAGATAACCCCCAGTTTTTAAATCCAGCCAGTCATTTATAATAGATTTCACTCGTCTCCGATGTTAATTTATTACGAAGCATTCAAATCATCGAAAAAGGTAGCTTTCATATGACAAGA